ATTGCTGATAATGCCGAAGAAGCTTTAGAAAATGTCCAGGCAGGTGAAAGTGCTTTACGCAAAGCATTATCCTACAAGAAGGCAATGTATCCTGTTATGGGTGCTCTATTGGGTACTTGTGTCGGTGGACCAATTGGTTTGGTAGCTGGTCTAAAGGCTGGCGGTTTAGCAGCTGTCGGCTGTGGCATATTAGGCTTTACCGGCGGTAGTGTTCTAAAAAGTAACCCCGCCATATTACAGGGTAACATTGAAGAGGAACAACAACAACAAGCTATTGAAAATTCCGAACAAACACAGGAGGAAATCGAAATGACAAAAAAGGAAGACTGACAAATGGAGAATTATAATCAACCGATGACAGTGTGGTCGGCGGCAACGCGTCAACTAATGAATTTCCAGGGTACAACTGCAAATCGTTTGGATCCAGTGGCCCAGGCCACTACCGGTGTATTGTGCAGTGTTAAATCTTATTGTACCATACAGTAGATTGTACAAAGTCTCTAAATAAGATGGGTGTGTAATTTCTACTGGATATTATTATTGTTTTGTTTATTTTTATAAGTTATTATAATATTAGACTAAGTCATATTTATATTATTAAAACAAAAAACCAATTAAAGTTATACAACAAACGAACGAATTCCAAAGTTTGCTTATTTTAAGTCTACAAAGGTAGGAACTGAATTGAAATGTCGTTTGTAGAAAAGTAGATCTAATTCCAACCATGTAGACATTTGTTGTTATTGAATTACAATTAAATAAATAGATTAATCATACATAAACGTAAACGTACATATAAATATTTAAAGTTGATAAAGACACCTTTGTTTTTTTAACACGTTAGCTCGTGATGTTGTTCATATTTAATTTATTGTATTTTGTAAGAATGTAGCTTGCAAATTTAGCTTAAATGTTTATAAGAATTTGTTTTAGTTTTTCTTTTTTTATCCATATGTAATATGATCAATCAATACCACGTTGTAAATTATTAATAAATAAATGTGAGAGTGTTTGTGTCCATTTTATTAGCATTCAACAATAAATGCCTTTTGTTGTTCCCTTTTAATGAAAAAATAGTTATTTTTCTTTGTTTGATGTTTGTCTTCTTGTGTTTGAAAAAGAGAACAATAAGTCAGTAGTATTCTGGGCCGACTTATCGATGAATGGAATGTTGTTTGTACATACATAGTTAAATTATATGGGAATATAAATATGTACTTACCCTCATTATTATTCTTGCATTTTCTTTTGCTTATTTTAAATATGACACATGATTATGGTATATTGCTTATGAATGATGAGGGTGATGATGAGTTTTTGATATTTGCATTGAATTCTAGCAAATTAAAAAAGAAGGAAAACAATAATTAGAACATTTACTATTATTTTGTTTTAAGTTTTTTTTTAAACATCAGTGCATTGAAAATGGCTGACTACTTAAATATTTTTTTATAAATAAAGTTTTTAGTTAATTTTTCCCCTAAATATTAACCGATCATTACCAATAACTATAGGTGTTGTCTTTTGCCAGAACCGAATTTAGTGACGATTTGTCCATGTACACAACGACTTACCTAGTCGACGATTTTTGGAAAATCGCATATCTCGTCCAAAAACCAAGAAAACCAGTAAGAAAAGTTCAGAAGTTGAACGGGGCCGACTATATTATACCATTCACCACTTTGGGTACATACAAGAATGGCCATAGGATAGAAATGGAATCGGACGAAACTAAATAAAACAACCCATACACATACCAATCTGAAATTTGTGAAAAAATGAATGTCAATCATCGAGCAAGATATGTAAAAGATCTGTATCCAAAATTAACCTCGACACAAAATTCAATACAAAACTTGACGTTTGTTTCAATCGGACAAACTTTTATAGTATGTTGAACCATTTACATAAATAGGAGGAAACTATATATATATATCTTAATCTTCAAAGATTTCAACAAAACTTCGTATACATCAATCAGTGCCTAATTCAATACTCTGTGCAAATGTTGTCTCAATCTGACTAATATGGTGCTCCATTTACATAAAATCGGACGAAACTATATATGAGAGGTATATCTAAATCTGAACCGATTCCAACAAAACTTCGCATACATCAATATGGGCCTAATTCCATTCTCTGTGTAAAATTTTGTCTCAATAGAACAAATATTGGCAGTATGGTGCTCCATTTACATAAAATCGGACGAAACTATATATGGGAGCTATATCTAAATCTGATCCGATTTCAAAAAAACTTAGTATATATTAATCTAGACCTCATTCAGTACTCTGTACAAAATTTTGTCTCAATCGGACCAATATTGGAAAAATGTTGCAACATTTACATAAAATCTGACGAAACTACATATGGGATCTTTATCTAAATCTGAACCGATTTTTTCCAATTTCAATAGGGTTCGTGCTTCGGCCAAATAAGTGGGCTGTGCCAAATTTCAACCCAATCGGATCATAAATGCGACCAGTACTTGGCTCACTCAAAAGGAACCATGTGTCTATCACGTTTCCTTTTGTCTGTTACAGACATATGCAAAAATACATAATAATACCCTGTACCACAGTGTGGTGAAGGATATAAATACGGAATATCTTGAGCGATGACATTTATCTTAGTTTATACGAAAGCTATGTAGGTCTAGAATAACAAGTAACATTTGAAAGGAATTGGGTTAATAATTTTTGAGTTATCGTGCTCTCCATTGAGATTTTCGCTTGAAATATTCTAGAGCTCTAGAGAATTTCTAGATAGGTTCAAAATAAATAAAAATAAAAAATCGATTTTTTGAAACCGAGAATTGGAGCGTCCCTTTAAATCGAGCTGAAAGATTTGTCATGCTTTTACAACGCCTAATATTTCAGCTTATACAAGTTGTATATTGAGACGATATTCTAGAATTTCACACTTTTCATATGCATTAGAAGACGTCACTCGATCGGTCACTATTCTTTACGAATAGTTTCAAAATTCTCCTTTATGAATATTAAAAGCCAACAAAAGTATCACTCTTTTAAATGTAGAAATCTCATACATATTACCTTCAATACAATTTCAAAGTCATCAATGTAAGGACCCTAAACTAAACCTGATTGTAATTTTGGGAATAGTTAACGACGTAAACAAATATTTCAAGTATTCATAATTAATAATTATTTATGAATTCTTAAAATATCTCATCTCTTCCATTGGTTGAAATACACTAACATTTTACATTCTCAATATTTATTTACTCAAATTATAGAAGTTCTTAAGTTATATAAAAATTTCAAATACAAATATTTCTTTTGTATTATCGGCATAACTAAATTAACTTAGCCTAATACGATGATTTCCCATTTTCGAAATCACATCAAAATCCCTATGGAAGTTATATGATAAATAATATTCCATATGAATATAGTTGGAGGATGTTGAATTGAAATAAAGACTTACAATCTAAATATAGTATTCACAGCTTAATTGTAAAACGATGAATGACGCATGAAATGCCAGCCCACCAAACATTTCAGAGTGGAACATTTGTTACAGTCCATGTTTGCTTAAATCTCTTGGTACGGGCATGATCCCTCTTGCGAATACGTTTAGCTGTTTTCTTGGGCTTATACCATGGTGGATACGAGCCATGTTGATCTTTAAGTGTTTTGCTATTGTAGATATGGACTTTGCCGGTTTTCTCATTGACAACGGTAATGTTTTCACCTTTTTCACGTTGTTCTTGGAGTTCATGTTCCAATTCGGCTTCTTCTTTGGATTTCTTTTCCTACAAGAAACAAATTACGTAGAACATTATTTTAACATTATTCAATGTTAAGTTTTTTGTGTAGAACTTACAATTTTCAATTCTTTGGCAGTTTTTACGGTGGCCACCTCTGAGAGCTCCTTCATATCTTCATCTGTGTCCATTATACCAAGAGTTTTCTTTAACCGTGCCAATTCCTTGACATCATATCGTGCCTTTTTGGCCTTGCTCATTTCTTCGCGGCGTTTACGTGATCTATTTGTACGACCCATGATGAATTATTTGTTAATTATTCACTATTTTACCGAATTATTCTCAATTTTTAACACGAATTTTCAACGTTTTCCAATAAACACGTGTAGAGTTGTTTGCCTTGCCGTTCGAATAAAAACAACAGATGTCATTTGACAGTTGTTGTCATATTTGTTTAGAGTTGCCAGAAAACTTTGAATGTGTGTGTTAAACAGCATTGCCATACAATTCGAAATACACTGGAAAAAAATACATTTACAAATTTAAAAAATGTTTCCTCAAGGTGAGAACAAAGTAAAGATTTGGAAACAATTTTAACTAAATTTAGGAAAAGCAAAACAAAAATGGCTTTAATTTCTCCAATTTTCAACTAGGAAAAATCATCGAATACAAATGGTTGCCAATAATGTCAATTTTAATACTTTCCGCTTTCAAAACCTCAAAATATTCCCGAGAGATCCCAAAAGAAGAATAAAGTACTTGAATGATAAACTGAAAACGACTGAAGCTAGAATCTTGAAATTTGGGATGAGGGTAACTCTTGGTCCAGAGGTGTCAGATAAGGTTAAATTTCCGAAATTCGTTTTAGAATGGCACGAAAAGTACTAAATGTGATACCATTTGTATTTGGCGAACCGGTAGAGCTAGAACTCTTGAATTTGAAATGAGAGTCACTGATGGAGTGTAGAATAGATGTAGCAAAGGATTTTTTGGACGTTCGAACTATAAGTATCCGAAAAGTAGTAAAATATACCAAAGTTGGCAGAATTCCGTAGCATGTGAATGGATAGAGCTAAAGGGCCCCATACACTATACATCATGCCGTACAGCATTTATCATAGTATGTGTTATTTTTTGAAAGTTTATTCATGTATGTGTGACACACACAATGCATGAAGAAAATCTAAATAGTTTTGATTTTAAAAATGAAACCCTATCAATCTGGTGAAAGTTGCCAGAAAGTTGTCAGTAAATAATTTTGTGTACAAAAATAATAAAATTGTGACGGAATAAAAAAACAACTTAATTTAAGACTTAAAATTCATTTTTTGGGACAATAATCGATTTTTTGGAATAGTGATTGAAGAGTTTGCTATACACTAGCCAATCTCACATATACAAAAAGGGGTTCATCGGCATGACGGCATGATGTATAGTGTATGGGGCCCTTAAAAGCTTGAAATTTGGAATGAAAATTAAGGTTGAAAGGTAGGGAGTAGTATAAGGAGGTGGTTTTAAAGCTTGCACTCATCTATACGAAATGTACTAAATTTGGTACAATTTGAATTTGGAGAAATGGATAAAACTGGAATCCTGAAATTTGAAATTAACATTACCGTTGAAGTGTAGGATAGCGATATGTTATATGTTGTTTGGGAAATTCATAGCTATGTGTACTAAATTGTACTCTATTAGGTACAATTTGGATTTGGCTGAACCGATAAAACTGAAATTTGGAAATATATTACTAATTC